GATTTCCTGCAAAAAGATGAAGCACGAAGCAAGTAGATGCGAGAAATTAAAGATGATTTTTCGAAGATTGATTCGCTAGTGTGAGATTTTTTGAGCATCTAGAATTGAGATTTAGATGTGTCGCCCCCCTCGGTGCTATCCATATACCATGTGGTCATTTTAGGGAAGAAGAGAGTTGGTATGGTAAATATATGACTGTATACGCACGGGGAGGGAAGGAGGTCTAAAACCTTTCAAAAACGGTCCACGTGTTACATGGACAGGCCCTTACTATATATAAGGCTGTCCACGAGACAGTTGCGATCAGCTGACTTTTTTGTTTACCAAGAAATTTTGACAGATCACAGTAGAACTGACAGTTCACTCTCATATGAATATCTGCTTTGTTTATGTTTACATTCAGCACCATTAACACCAGATCACTCACACACTCTTGATTTCTAGCTGTCAATTCCACTAAAAAACGTCTCTTGGATCACCTTATTAACATTCGTTCGACACTTGCGTGCACTGTGAAGATCTGGATTACATCTTCTTGAAGATTACACAAACTAACAAATGGAAACAATGACCGAATTCGTGAATCAACAAGATGATAAACGGAACGGTTAATATTTATGCTGGGAAGAAAATTGAAATCCATATATCACTACTTTTGAGGCCCACTATTGGTTAAAATGCCATAGTCTTGAGTGAGAATATCAAAACATCTGTAGCAAGAACCGCTTTCGTTTGCGTTATCTGCTGATGTAGTCAGTATTTAAATCGATGCTCGTTCGTCTACCAACTCAGTAGTCTTTCAAAAATGGGTCGAAGTGCATTGATTCATCTGTTGGAATTAGGTTTGTTGTGTGTTTGCTGGACCACCAACGCCAACAGCGCGGAAAACAATACAGGATTTGGATATGAACTTCTCCTTGCAAAGCTGGACTACCTGGAGTACAAGTAAGTGGCCAGGATTTAAATCAAATTTTGAATGAGTAGAAATTTTTTTAACGAATGAATAGATTATTAGAACTGCAAGTGGAAACCAAAGAACAAGGTGAATCGATTCTTGTAAACCAGAATAACTCCAGACGAGAGCTGATGGAGCAGGCCAGGTAAGCTATCCAGCTTGTACAGTTAACGTCCGATTATGGTTTTCTTTGCATTAATTGGTATAAATTTAGGAATGAGAAAAAAATCGAGTTAGAGATAGATGATGAAAAATATGTAATGGGTTGCAACATTCAGAACTACATAGCACAGACAAACAGACATAACACTTAGAAGAAAATTCTTCAAAAAATATCGTCAAGCGTATTTTGTATGCGCACTAGCACCATCTATCATCCACATTCTTAAGCATTGTTTTGAAACTGGAGCATCCCTCGTTCGAGCATTTTTTTCACTACTTGCTTTTCCCTCGTTCTGTCAACGCGTCAGCTGTGTTGAATAAACACAAAACAGATGGAAGTCAGTGATGTCGGTTCTACAAAATTTTCCGTAGATCTTTAGAATTGATTGAATTCTGCAGAAATACGGATCCGTATGGAAAATTCACTGGAGCTAAGACTTTTTTTAAGGGATTTGTTTTGTTTGCTTATTGTGCTTTTTCTTTTGCTGGAAACAAGTTTTTAAACGAGGTAATGCATCACTTATTAGTGCCCTTTCTAAATGTAGATGTGTCAAAGTAATATGTATGAATCAATGACATTCATGGTGAAGTTTTGAACATCAATAACTGGTAAAAGTTGATAGAACATTACAGTCATCAACATGATTTGTTCTCGATTTCTGAGTACATCGTACAACGTAATGTTAGGAACGGAATGACTAATGTGCAGCAGTTTTGATGTAATATTCAACAACTTTTTTTTGTGTGGTATGTGTCTCCAGTGGGATGCCTTGATCACTTATCATTTTCAAGAGCTGACATCTACTAACTAGACGTGGAAAAGAACTGGCATCACTGATAAGTTCAAAATGTGGTGGCTTGCTCAATGCTTCAGTGGCGCCACCATGACAAATGCAAGCACATTCCCAACTAAAACATTATTTGCGATGAATGTGATTCTGAGTGTTATGTCTGTTTGTCTGTGTACATAGCATAAGCGTATCAGAACCAAAATCGGACGTGTACTGCATTGCATCATATTTAATGCAATATCTATTTCTTAGTGAGCTATTGGAACAACAGAGAATATTTTCCAATCATGAGAAAATATTGCATGCTATATTCGAGCTGAATCCACGAAAACATCCAGCCGATAATAGTAAACTTTTGACGACGTTGTTGAATGGACACATTTTTGGAGTTCCATCTACCGTGATATCTTGTGTCCAAGAGAAATCGAAAAAATCAGGTCGTTATTGGATGGCACCAACGGACTTCCCTAAATTTGAAGTGTATTGTGAACAAACATTACATGGTGGAGGCTGGATTTTGATTCAGAATCGGTTCAACGGATCGGTTGATTTCTTCAGAAATTGGACCGACTATAGGAATGGTTTTGGCAGTTTAGACGGAGAATTTTGGTTGGGATTGGAAAAGATACATCAGCTTACGTCTACCAGAATGCACGAGCTTTTGATCTACTTGGAAGACCATGCTGGGGTCCAGAAGTATGCCAAATACGAAAAATTTTCCATCGGAGATGAGAACGACCAGTACGCACTGAAAACACTGGAATCATGCAGCGGTACTTTGGGTGATTCCTTGATGAATTATAAGGGAATGAAATTTTCGACCTTTGATAAAGACAATGACGAGTATTCAGAGAATTGTGCTTCAATATACCATGGTGGATGGTGGTACAAAGCATGCCATGCGAGGTAGGATATTTAACTTTCGGTCGCATAGTAAACGTTTTTCATTGTTGTTACTTTTTTCATTTAGCAATTTGAACGGACCGTATAAAAAGGGAGATAACCCTGACACAATGACATGGTATTCATTTCACAACAAAGATTACGGATTGAAAGCATCGAAAATGATGATCAGAGAAATTTAAGCTGTTATCTAATCGGAACTCATAATTTTGCTAAATAAATAACTTTAACATGAATATATAAATGAAGCATCAATGAAGTACTCAATGTTTGGAAATATTTCATCGGGGCGAAAATTCAATCGGATCAGACTCGAGAAATATTGAGAGTTTGTGAAACAACGCTTGATTATTGCATAATATTAATACTGGAAAGAAAGTCAAAATCCAAATATCACTACTTTGAGGTCCACTATTGGTCAATATGCCAAAGTAATGAGTGAGAATATCCAAAACTATAGCAATAGCAGCTTGCGTTTGCGTTATCTGTTGCTGAAGTTTGGTTTCTTCGGTATTTAAACCGATGCTCGTTCGTCTACCACCACAGTAGTCTTTCAAAAATGGGTCGCAGTGTATTGATTCATCTGTTAATATTAGGTTTGTCCGGTGTTTGCTGGGCCACCAACGCCAACAGCGCGGAAAACAATACAGGATTTGGATACGAACTTCTCCTTGCAAAGCTGGACTACCTGGAGTACAAGTAAGTGACCATGATTGAAATCAAATTTTGAATGAGTAGAAATTTTTTTAACGATCGAATAGATTATTAGAACTGCAAGTGGAAACCAAAGAACAAGGTGAATCGATTCTTGTAAACCAGAATAAATCCAGACGAGAGTTGATGGAGCAGGCCAGGTAAGCTAGCCAGTTTGTACAGTTAACGTCTGATTTGGGATACATTTATGAATGAGAAAATATCAATTAGAGATAGTTGAGGAAAAATAAGAAATGGTTTGCAAAATTCAGAACTACATAGCATAAGCGTATTAAAATCATCGGGCACTGGTTGCCAAAATCGGACGTGCACTGTATAGCATCATATTTAATGCAATATCTTTTTCTTAGTGAGCTATTGGAACAACAGAGAATATTTGCCAATCATGAGAAGATACTGAATGCCATATTTGAGCTGAATCCCAGAAAACATCCAGCCGATAATAGTAAACTACTGACAGCTATATTGAATGAACCAATTTCTGATGTTCCCTCTACCGTGATATCTTGTGTCCAAGAGAAATCGAAAAAATCAGGTCGTTATTGGATGGCACCAACGGACTTCCCTAAATTTGAAGTTTATTGTGAACAAACATTACATGGTGGAGGCTGGATTGTGATTCAGAATCGGTTCAACGGATCGGTTGATTTCTTCAGAAATTGGACCGACTATAGGAATGGTTTTGGCAGTTTAGACGGAGAATTTTGGTTGGGATTGGAAAAGATACATCAGCTTACGTCTACCAGAATGCACGAGCTTTTGATCTACTTGGAAGACCATGCTGGGGTCCAGAAGTATGCCAAATACGAAAATTTTTCCATCGGAGATGAGAACGACCAGTACGCACTGAAAACACTGGAATCATGCAGCGGTACTTTGGGTGATTCCTTGACGAATTATAAGGGAATGAAATTTTCGACCTTTGATAAAGACAATGACGAGCATTCAGAGAATTGTGCTTCAATATACCATGGTGGATGGTGGTACAAAGCATGCCATGCGAGGTAGGATATTTAACTTTCGGTCGCATAGTAAACGTTTTTCATTGTTGTTACTTTTTTCATTTAGCAATTTGAACGGACCGTATAAAAAGGGAGATAACTCTGATACAATGACATGGTATTCATTTCACAACAAACATCACGGATTGAAAGCATCGAAAATGATGATCAGAGAAATTTAAGCTGTTATCTTTAATGTAATCGGAACTCATAATTTAGCTAAAGAAATAACTTTAACATGAATATATAAATGAAGCATCAATGAAGTACTCAATGTTTGGAAATATTTCATCGGGGCGAAAGAGAGTATGTGAAACAACGCTAGATTATTGCATAATATTTATACTGGAAAGAAAATCAAAATCCATATATCACTACTTTGAGGTCCACTATTGGCCAATGTGCCATAGTCATGAGTGAGAATATCCAAAACTATAGCAATAGCAGCTTGCGTTATCTGTTGCTGTAGTTTGGTTTCTTCGGTATTTAAACCGATGCTCGTTCGTCAACCAACACAGTAGTCTTTCAAAAATGGGTCGAAGTGTATTGATTCATCTGTTGGTATTAGGTTTGTTCAGTTTTTGCTGGACCACCAACGCCAACAGCGCGGAAAACAATACAGGATTTGGTTACGAACTTCTCCTTGCAAAGCTGGACTACCTGGAGTACAAGTAAGTGACCAGGATTTAAATCAAATTCTGAATTGGTAGTAATGCGTTTGATAATGAATAGATTATTAGAACTGCAAGTGGAAACCAAAGAACAAGGTGAATCGATTCTTGTAAACCAGAACATAACCAGACGAGAGTTGATGGGACAGGTCAGGTAAGCTCGCTAGAAGCATATTTGTCGGCATTTGGCGTCTGATTTTGGCTAAGTTTTATCGTGTGGCATGCATTATAATTCATCACAAATGTAGCCCTTTCTCTGTAACTCGATATCGAATCAACATGAAATCCAATTTATGGCATTAGTATGCAAACAATTGTAGAAGTAGCCAGGACCTTCACCGATTTTCGAAAAATACCAGGTTAGGAATAATTGCAGTAGGGTAAACCGCTTCTTTGTCGTAAACGTCCATTACCGATCGAGCAGCAAAAGAAGTGCTCAAAGCTAATCAATCGGTAAGATGAAGAAAGGCCAATCGCGTTTCAAACGAAATAAATGTGAAAGTCATTTATAGTACACACTTATAACTAATTTCACACGTGACGGAATCCATATTTGACATTATGAATGAGATATAAAAAAAACATGTCATGAAAGCTTAAGTGCTCCGAAACTGAAAAAATCTTCACTCGATGAAAAGTACGTTTCCCGAAGGCTCAATTTCATGTCAAACTTAACGCTTGTATATATCAGTCTCAGGGCACCTACATTTACACAATTTTCATAAAATATTTAGTTCATATCCGTTCGAAAAATAGAGCTAAATTGCAGGTTGTGCATAGTAAGACACAAATTAGATCAAAAACCTCACTAACCAAAAAATAACGAGAACAAACATATCAGAGCCATCGCTCACGTGTTGTCAAAATCAGACGTGCACAGTATTGAATCAGTTTTAATCCGATAATATATTCCTAGCGAAATATTGGAACAACAGAGAATATTTGCCAATCATGAGAAGATACTGAATGCCATATTTGAGCTGAATCCCAGAAAACATCCAGCCGATAATAGTAAACTACTGACAGCTATATTGAATGAACCAATTTCTGATGTTCCCTCTACCGTGAAGTCTTGTGTTGAGATGAAGACGAACAAATCGGGCCGTTACTGGTTGACACAAACGGACTTACCTAAACTTGAAGTGTACTGTGAACAAACATTACATGGCGGAGGTTGGATTGTGATTCAGAATCGGTTCAACGGATCGGTTGATTTCTTCAGAAATTGGACCGACTATAGGAATGGTTTTGGCAGTTTAGACGGAGAATTTTGGTTGGGATTGGAAAAGATACGCCAGCTTACGTCTACCAGAATGCACGAGCTTTTGATCCATTTGGAAGATCATGCTGGAGTCTCGAAGCACGCCAAATACGAAAAATTTGCCATCGGAGATGAGAGCGACCAGTACGCACTGAAAACACTGGAATCATGCAGCGGTACTTTGGGCGACTCTTTGATCGGTCATAAGGGTATGAAATTTACAACCTTTGATAGAGACAATGATGAGCATTTTGGAAATTGTGCTTCATTATTTCATGGTGGATGGTGGTACAAAGCATGTCATACGAGGTAGGAGATTCTGTTATTAAGTGCATGACGCTTTTCAATGTGTTTACATTTATTTCTTCAGCAATTTGAACGGACCGTATAAAAAGGGAGATGACCCTGATACAATGACCTGGTCGACATTCCTTAACAAATATTACGGATTGAAAGTATCTAAAATGATGATCAGAGCAATTTAAGCTGAATTTTTCCTATTTCAATTCAATTCATGTTTTACTTTAAATGTAATCGCAATTCTTTAATTAGATGATAAAAAAAACATTAACTATAGGATTTATTTGGATGTAAGTTTAATTCTTGTTTTATCGGTCAGTGCTTATAGCAAACAAGCACAACTATTTGGAATCATACATTAACGCATTGATTCGAAGATTTCAATGGGTCATGATGAAACGATACAATTTGTATTCGAATGATCAACACAGCTTTTGTGAGCTCTATTTTTAAAACATCGTCCAGCATATAACTTGAATGTGATATCAGTAAATGGTTATGCCTCATAACACTAAACCGCAAACTTTATCAGCTTGCCAAGCGGAAATTCGTCATCCGAGGATGTTTATTCCGCTGTTTATGGATTGAAAAGAATCAGTTTGCTTTCAACCATGACGGGAAGAATATCTACTCTTGCTCCAGTACTAGTGGCTACCCTGTTCAGCGTTTGCTGCTGGGCAAAGGAGTTGCCGGCAAATGATACGGAATACTCCGCTGGATTTGGCTACGAACTTCTTCTTGCCAAAATGGATTATCTGGAGTACAAGTAAGTTTCTAGCAATCAATTGAAATCCCCGAATAAAGTTGTCCGGATCATACATCACCATAGGTTTCTGGAATTACAAACCGAAGTCAAGGAACAGAGTGAATCGCTTCTCGGACGAACTGGGTACTAACGTTTTCCTTTATCTAGAGTCGGAATTGATTGCTCTCAACTTCCTTTCAATACTCAGAGAGATTTTGGAGCAGCAGAAAATTTTCTCCAATCACGAGAAAATCATGAACTCGATCTACACGTTGAACCCGCGGAAACATCCGGCTGACAACAGTCAACTACTGAATTACCAAACGGATGCTTTTTATCGAAAGCCACAGATGCCAACAAGCATTACCAGTATCGTCAGTTCCTGCAGGAGTGAGACATCGAAAAAATCCGGCCGATACTGGATGCAGCTGGATGGTTCCGATCCATTCCAAGTATACTGCGAGCAAACATTCTACGGAGGTGGTTGGATCGTTGTACAGAATCGATTCAATGGATCGGTCCATTTCAATAGAACTTGGACCGAATACAAAAATGGGTTTGGCAGTTTGGATGGGGAGTTTTGGCTAGGACTGGAAAAAATCCATAAGGTAATGTTGCCCGATTGTTGAACATGATGTCTCTTAAAAAATGTAAATTATAGATAACTACTGCGACCGTGAACGAATTGCTGATTCATTTGGAGGATTTTGATGGATTAGCAAAATATGCACGCTATAAGAGGTTCACAGTTGGTGCAGAATCTGTGCAGTACACACTCGTGGCTGTGGAAGGTCATTCAGGGAATTTGGAGGATTCGTTGAAACGCCATAAAGGGAAGAAATTTTCTACACCTGAAGTCGATAATGATAATGATTCTGGGAGAAATTGTGCAGACGTTTATAGCAGTGGATGGTGGTTCGATAACTGCTTCGATAGGTCAGTGGAGTATACAATTTATAGTTGTTCTACTATTTTTTTTTCATTTTTGTGTATTCTGGATACAGCAACTTAAATGGAGTATACACGGATATTGGAAATCACTTTTCAATGAGTTGGCAAAAGTTCACTGGATCATTCAAAGGTATGAGGGTTTCAAAGATGATGATTAAAGAAGCATAATCGTAATATTAAGAGTGATGTGAAATCTATTTCAAGTCACACAAGTTTTCTCAAAACTTTTTCTACCTCCTTGGTTTTTTAAATGAATACATATAAGGAGGTACAATATCGAAACTCAGATTTTCTTCATCCGAAATTTCAAATCATTTGTTGCTAAATCATTTCATCAATATTTTGAGATTTTTATTTTTCCACCCTCAGCTAGAAATATACGATTTTATATCAAATTTGCATTGTTTCATAACATGAACAGATTATGTAATGTGGTCGCTGGAAGGTTTTGAAAATAATTTTGTAATTTTTACTTAAGCTTATTTTTCGAACATAGTGTGTTTCTCTTATTCTCGTGAAGGTTTTATACAACAACATGCATAGGGGGCGACTCCGGCGTAGTGGTTTACATTCATACCTCTCACGCCAAAGTCACGAGTTCAAATCTCACCCCCGGACAAGTCACGAATGACCCAACAGTGTTAAAGTGACTATGATAATAATAATAAAAAAAAAAACATCATGCATTCTGGAAAAACTTGCTAGTACGCTGCAGTAACATTTGTTGTATGAAACATATGAAATTTGTGTTGCGAGACCTCGAGAAAATACGACATACCTCATATCCTCTCATCCATCTATGTATCAGCTAGAACAGGAGTGTGCGTTTGATTAGTAAGGTCGCATAAGTGGCCCTTCGCTCAATTTCAACTTCTGTTCAATTTTCACACTGCTGTACTCTACTGGAACTATCAATCTATCCGCTTCAGAACTTTCTCTAGCTAATAAAGGGTGGAACGGTCAAGAATTGGTCGAACATGACAAAGTGCACACTGATTATGTTATTGTATAAATGATCAAACGTTATTTCTTTTTAAATGATTACAAAAGCAGGACAATTATTTGATTAGGCTTCCGATTTTTCAAATGTCAACTGTCGCGCTTTACGTTCCACACCTTCCATCACATTGTATACCGCTGTTGTGTCAACGTTATTTGATGCTGAACGTCAACTTGCTTTGACTGGTTGCACATTTTTAACTGTTTTCTGAGTTTTATTGAGGTTCCGCTTAACAATTGCCCAATACTTTTTACGTTGGACTACGTCTGTGATTTCTATATGGAGGTACATTTTGTGAAAACCAAAAATGAAAGATTTTGAGCGCTAATAACTCAGCTGCCCCTGGACCATTTTAAATAATTTTATCACCAATCGATCAGATATATTTCAACGCATCTGTTATATTTAAGATTTTTATCATTTTTCAAAATGTCACTATTGAAAATTGCAGGAATGTGCAACTGTTGCTTTGACAATTAAAATTATCACCGATTGCCTACGAAAAGCGATTTTCCTAACACAGATTTCGAAGTTGAATTTCATCCGGTCTAACCAAACGGTGTTTATTCAATCACTGCGCGGTGAGTTGTGGTGTTCTCCAGTACACAACGAAAGGCTCCTCGCAAGCAGCTAGCTACCAAGGCTGATCTCAACCGTTGATCGGATTCAGTTCCAATCACCGTGTGTGGTGGTGTGTGGTCGTCGGCATCAGCTGCAGCAACAGCAGTGCTTTCGGTGCGTGGCGTTGAACATTGTTCACCAGTACACAACGAAAGGCTGCCTGCAAGCAGTGAGCTGCAGTCCACAAGAGTATCCATAGAAGGAGGAAGAAGCGGCACCGCTATTGATCGGAATCAGTAACTTTTAGTGAGTCGCTGTGGGCCATCTATGTCAAGCGCGTCATACTAAAGAGTATAAACAGAGAGAACCCCATAGGGCTGTTCCTTGTAGTTTTTTTTAGTTGGGTGCAGCTCCGGCGAATTTTGAGGGTTTTTGTCCTTGGGTATGACACGCACGTTTTTGACATTCCTGAGCCATTTTCCCGTAGTGACAGGAAGCTAGGTCTAGCCAAAACAGCACGGAACAACTATGTTTCTTCAAAAAGGCAACAAGCGTTTTTGCAAACATTGTTTTACATAAATATTTTGGTTGCAGTGTTGATCAAATCTCACTAATGAGCGTAATCTCATTTGATTATGGTAAGCCACAATCAACCAGAAAACAACAGCGGATGATATTACAAGCTGTGATACGGTAGCTCAGATCATGCTAAAATAAAACACGCCAGCTACAATTCTCACCAAACTGTGGTGAGTATGAAGTTCAAGATTTTTGCTGTACACCCGAACACGGTCCGAAAGTTCCACTACTGCTGGAAGCAGTAACTTCAGCAGCAGCTTGCAAAATCTATATCATGCGTTATATTTTATTTCAATATCACGCATGATATTGGGAGCCTTTGAGTGCGAAACAAAATCATTTGAGTGATGATTAGGCCATCACTGCTTGGTTGACAATGCCAGTTGTCACAAAAATTTCGCTTTTCAGCTAACATGTGAAAATCGCCTGCTAAACCAAGTATTTTAACTCTTTCTGCTTAAACTTATCTTGAACCATTCCTTTTCCGGTAGCCGTGTAAAACTCTTGACCTGGGAGCTACTTGAAATCCACCTTGACGTATGTTTCATTGTCCATTATGACGCAATCAATCTGCTTGAGAATAATTTGGATTTTTCTTATGCGCGTGCAAAATTTTGATACGCTGTTCTTCCTGCTTCGACGCCATTTTGGAAACTGAATAGAGGCAACATTCCGTATGCACAGACCTACAAATTGAGGGGTGTTCAAGTTTTTTTTAAAATGCAAGATTTAAAAAAAAAATCGCTTAATTTGACCGTTCCATGTACGAAGTAACAAAACACGATGATTGAATAGGCTTTTATTTATGCTAAACTTTGAATGAACCCGAGGTTTGAAAATAAATAAGCTTAAATAAAGATTGAATTTCAAAAAGAGCAAATATAGAAAGCTCTCAATTAACAACGGTGTAAGTGCTCAAAGCACATTAAGATCCAAAAAGAATGTAATGAGCCGGAAAGTAATAGAACCTTCCATACGACTTCCAGTCTGCACAGCATCAGTGAAAGCAATTCCCTATGAAACATACAATAAAATTGCTCATCAAGATTCGCAATGATGAACCACTTTAGAGCCCATATAGAGTACATCATCTGCCCTGGAAGCAATGGCCCTCACATACATTTTGGCTGTCCGTTTTGTTTTGTGGTTTCCGTCAATTTCGTCTAATCGATTTCGATCTTTATCCAACAGACGTTGCCCATGTCGGCTGACTGTGAAATCGTCCCTAATTACCCTAAGGGAAACTGGATTGTGTGATTGAATGAACTATCACTAAATATGTGACTGCCTAATAGCGAATTTGTATTTGATTCAGATTGGATTGGCGTGTTTCCGGAAAAACGTCAGTTTGATCGTTTCTATTTAAAACTTACCTCAGGTTAAGGTTCGCACTGACAAAAAGTTCGCACAAAATCACTCAAATTCGCTATAATTACAAAATCACGTAGGAGAAATGGAATTATGATGATAAATCTAAACGTCTTTAACAACTCTTCATGGTGTCAAACGACACGGCCTCCTTTGATGGTTAACTTATTTTTCTGAGAAAAAATTGAAATCGCAAATGAAGCAAAGCAAAGACTTGCAAGATACTCGCACGAATAATCGAGCCGTATCCCAACATATCTTAGCCCATACAAAATTCAATCAACGGTTATTCGAATAATCCTAAATCAGCTGGAGGTACAATTAATCAGAATCATCTTTATTGCAGCCATTGTTTCATTTCAATACGCGCACTCACTGCCCTACCAAACGGCAGACAAACTGTTCATCGTTATGAATAATAATGAGCATTTTCCATGGGCCTTCTCATATACACATACCGTTGACCATCACGATCATCAGATGTTCTAGGGATCTTTATGATGAACCATCCGAATAAAAAGAAGGTCACGAATAAAAGCCGCATTTGCATTCATTTTCAAAGAATTTCGTGGCCATGCAACCGTGAGGTACTTGCGGTGCGCGGTTGACTGCACGCATGCATAGTAGAAAGTGCATCACTGACGTCCATCAACATACCGAAATAGAAAAGAGCGCGCACGGATTTGTTTTTTTTTTACGATGGATACCCTTTGAATCAATTATTAACTGGGAATTGCATTGTTTCGAGTGCCTCCTAGCTAGGTATGGCTTAGTGCTCGGCGGTTAGACGACACAACACAAACAACACTCGATCGGAAACACATGGTCAGCAGCACGCAACCGCAATGGACTCACGTTTTTTTTTAATTTCCCGCTTTTCTCCTACTTTGGGGTCTGGATGATCGACAACTTTCTGTGCGTCGGGCACCGCGATCCGATCTCAGCTTAAGTTCCATATCAATTGGATGCTTTATGGGCTCCCATCATCCGGTTTCCCGCGGGGTCTCTAAATATCTCGATCGATCGATCGATCCAATCCGAAGATCTGCTTTCAATTCAATTTGCGCTTGTGCGCTTATCGTGCTCGCGGGGTTTTGCCTTTTATGAGATCTGCGTCAAAGCGCGAGTCGTGGAACCGGTATGGTGGGTGCGCTGGCAAACTTCTCGATGCATCGAAACGTCACGTCGTCAGGGCTAATTTGAGCTGACGTTTTTGACTCATCGTCACCCGGGCGCAGGGAAGTCTGGAGAAGCTTGACAGGCTAAGCGGTCGGTCGGAGAAATGGTTGACCCTAAATGGAAGAGGTAAGTTTTGCACCCGCTTCACCTTGCAGTGCCATTTCCTATACTTATGCTTGACAGGGTCCATAAAGGTGCTGCTGGTCGGGCAGAGTGGCACTGATTAGAGCTGGTTGTGACGAAAGTAGACAACGAACGTAGCTTCCTCATGCTCGGTACCACTTTCTCATCGGAAGGTTTGAACTGGAGTCAGTGGGTGGCATTTTTTCGCATTCCAACGTACGTTTGCGATAACGACTTTCGATTAAGCTCTGAACCTATTTGATATTTGTCATTTTTTTTTTCATACTCATAATTCAACATTTTAACTCTTTGTCTAATCTAATATAAACGCAGCCAGTACGAGAAAGCATCCTGGAAAATGATTAGGTTAGATGAGGTCTAAT